ACAAAAAATTAGCTGGGCATGGTGGTGTGTGCCTGTAATCCCAGCTACTCGGGAGGCTGAGGCAGGAGAATTGCCTGAACCCAGGAGGCGGAGGTTGTGGTGAGCCAAGATCGCGCCATTATGCTCCAGCCTGGGTAACAAGAGCGAAACTCCGTCTCAAAAAAAAAGAGAAATTCCTTTCCGCTCTACTTTCAGTTTTGCTGAGAGTTTTTATTAGGAATGGATGCTAGTTTTTGTCAAAAGCTTTTTCTGTACCTGTTGATATGATCATGTCTGTTTTAGTCTGATCACATGGTGAACTGTGTTAAACCAATATTGCATTACTGGGATAAACTCCAGCTGGATGTGTCAAGAGCCCCAGTAGATGCCTCAAACCACAGACTATACCAAACCCTATAAACACTATGTTTTTTTCATATATATATATATACACACCTATGATAAAATGTAATTAGAATAATCGAACAAAAACGATATACTGTAATAAAAGTTGTGTGAATGTGGTCTCTCTCTAAGACCTTCTTATGCTGTACTCAGCCTTCTTTTTGTTATGATGTGAGATAATAAAACTGGGACCACAGTCGACCATGGGTAACTGCAACTGTCAAAAGCAAAACCAGAGATAAGAAAGTGTGCTATCACTTCTATTTTCTGGAAGAGTTTGTATAGAACTGGTACTGTTTCTTTCTTTCTCTTTTTTTCATGTTTGGCAGAATTTTCCAATTAAGTCTCCTAGATGTTTTCTTTATAAAAACTACAAATTCAATTTCTTTAATAGATACAGTGGATATTCAGTTAGCTCCAACATCTAAAGAGCCTGCAAGTCATCACTCCCATGTTTACACAAAGAAAGATAAGCCAATGGAAAAATCAACAATTCTTTTGAACCCATCAGAGAACTGAGGTCTCCGGGTAAACCAGCACTCTGAAATCTGGGGAGAGAGGAGAATCAGGAGAGTCAGTCACAGCTGAGATTTGCTTACTTGGAGTGGAAGCTGCTGGAGCCATTAAGTAGTGACACTTAAATGCTAATGTTGACAAACTGCTGGAGGCTGACTATGGACTAGTGTAAGAGTGAGAAATACTGTCTTCATTGTAAAATACATCCAGAATGTTCTCCATAACAAAGGCCTCTCTCCATGGAAAAAGACTTTACCAAAGCCTGATCCAGCTTGGGAAAGGTACCTTTCCTCTCCGGCCACCTTCTAGCTTCCTTGTCTTTTCTAAGGGGGAAAAAGTTCAGAAACACTCAGCCCAGGGATTGAGGCCCATGAAAATACTGAGATTTAAATTGTATTATGATTATACATGCCCCCTCCTCCACATCTCACTGCCACACCAACAGGGCTCTAGTATAATTTACAGTGATTACAGCTGAACGAGTTGCAAGACAAAGGCTTTCCCTGAAAGGGAGCACTGAGGGAATGCCACAGTCAAAAGGGGAGACAAAACCAAGACCAACAGAGGAAGTTGAAGCCTCTGGCTCAAGCAGCCACAGCGGACATTAAATACAGTCCAACTCCTACCTACATTAACATAAAACTTACACTCAAGGCTTTTCATATTCAGTTCTATTACCCAACAGGCGATGTGTAGCTTTCAACAAATAATTACGAGGCATATTAAGAGGCAAGAAAAACAAAGTCTGAAGACATAGAAGGATACATCGATTTTCTAATTCTTTTTTTCTGAGATGGAGTTTCACTCTTGCAATAGTGTGATCTCAGACCACTGCAACCTCCGCCTCCTGGGTTCAGATGATTCTCCTGCCTCAGCCTCCAGAGTAGCTGGGATTAGAGGTGTGCATCACCACGTCTGGCTTATTTTTTGTATTTTTAGTAGAGGTGGGGTTTCACCATGTTGGCCCGGCTCGTCTTGAACTCCTGACCTCAAGTGATCCACCCACCTCAGCCTCTCTTGAGTTTTGTGGGGTTTTTTAAAAAGGAATTTGTCCATTTAAGTTTTTAAATGTATTGGCATTAAAGTTGCCTGTAATATCCTTTATTATGTATTTAGTAATGTAGGGACTCTGTGGTCTCTGCTCACGACTCATTTTTGTGCCTTCTCTTTTTTCCATGTGGCCAGAGCTTTACCAGCTTTGTTGGTTTTTTCAAAGAACCAGATCTTTGTTTCACTTTTCTCCATTGTTTTACTGCTATTTCTTTGGTTCCCGTTCTTTTATTATTTCATTTCTTCTCCTTATGTAATATTTAGTTTGCTCTTCTTTATCTAGTTTCTTAAGTAGAAGCTTAGGTCATCGATTTTGAGTATTTTTACTTACCTAATATAAGCATTTAATGTTAAGAATTTCCCTCCCTTGGCCAGGCACAGTGGCTCACATCTGTAATTCCAATACTTTGGGAGGTCGAGACAGGTGGATCATGAGGTCAAGGGATTGAGACCATCCTGGCCAATGCGGTAAAACCCTGTCTCTACTAAAAATACAAAAATTAGCTGGACATGGTGGTGCATGCCTGTAGTCCCATCTACTCGGGAGGCTGAGGCAGAAGAATTGCTTGAACCCAGTAGGCAGAGGTTGCGGTGAGCCAAGATTGTGCCACTGCTCTCCAGCATGGAGACAGAGCAAGACTCTGCCTTTCTATTCCCTCCTCCTGGTCTTTGCTTTGGCCACTATCCTGTCCCTCTCCTAAGTCATTAATTTTTTCCTTTCCTTTTTTTTTTTGACATGGAGTCTTGCTCTGTCACCAGGCTGGAGTGTAGTGGCACAATCTCGGCTCACTGCAACCTCCACCTGCTGGGTTCAAGCGATTTCCGCCTCAGCCTCCAGAGTAGCTGGGACTACAGACACGTGTCACCACACCCAGCGAATTTTTGTATTTTTTACAAAAGACAGGGTTTCACCATGTTGGCCAGGATGGTCTTGATCTCTTAATCTCATGATCTGCCCGCCTCAGCCTCCCAAAGTGCTGGGATTACAGGTGTCAGCCCCCGTGCCTGGCCTAACTTTTTCCTTTCTATGGAGTCGTTCTTAATATAAGCATGCAGTTACAGTCTACATTGTAAGAAAAAAAAGGAAAACACCCTCTCTTTTCCCCACATCCTCCTTAGGTTATCATCCCATTGCTCTCCAGTATCTGTGTGCTCAATGCAGTGTCTACTTCCTTATCTTATGTTCTGTACAATCCATTCCATTCGGGTGCTCACTCTTATTTCATCTTGAAATTGTTTTTATCAAGGTCACCAGCAAGTTCCATCTCTCCATACACAACTGTCAATTAACTCTCCTCTCCTTACCCATTATCCAGCAGCATTTGCCACCCTTCCCCGCCGGCTGTCGAGCTGACACTCCTTTGGTTTTCCTCCCTTCTTCACTGACTTCTCTCCAGTCTTTCAATTGAGTGCCCCCGGGATTCAGTCCTCAGCTGTCACCTATCTATATCCACAACCCCATGCCCTTCATCCACTTCTAAATTTTGTTTTGTGTTTTTTGAGATGGAGTTTCCCTCTTGTTGCCCAGTGCAATGGCTCGATCCCAGCTCACCACAACCTCCGCTTCCTGGGTTCAAGCGATTCTCCTGCCTCAGCCTCCCGAATAGTTGGGACTGCAGGCATGCGCCACCATGGCTGGCTAATTTTGTATTTTTAGTAGAGACAGGGTTTCCCCATGTTGGTCAGGCTGGTCTTGAACTCCTGACCTCAGATGATCTGCCCGCCTCGGCCTCCCAAAGTGCTGGGATGACAGGCGTGAGCCACTGTGCCCGGCCCATCCACTTCTAAACTTTCAGCATCATCCTAGCAGTCAAGCTATTCTATATTATTCCATAATTTGTAGTGCATTTTGTAGTTGCCTTAAAATAATACTTATGTGTTTTAATCTGTGCAGTTAGACTGTATGTTTTCAAAGGACAAAGATCCCCACCATCTTGTTCTTCATCATCCTTTTGAAGTGTCTAAGCAGAATTCTGTGCATGGCAAACCCCAAATAAGCACTGTAAACGCCATCGGATTTTGTACAAGCTCTTAAAAATGTGTAGTTTCACGAGTAGGTAGAAGCAGGATTTACAGTGATCTACACTAAGGCAGAAAGTACCACCTACAAATTAATCAAGCATTAAAGCCAGGACCTGCTTGGGGCTCATAATCTATTATGGTCACCTTAGAATGCACCTGACTGTGGGACCAGAACCTGTCCAGTGGCTCCTTCTATTCAGCATTTTCAGAGCAGTGAAAGTAAACCGTGCACTTCTTTCCCTTAGGGGTTTCTCACGTGTTGAGGCTGGTCACAGGGAAATCTGCATTCCAACTAAATGTCAAACAAGTAACAATTAAATTAGAACCAAAACCCAGCGTTTAAGGGCCAATGAAATTATACAGGAATCTGGGCTGATATCGGCGGGATGCCCACCTCTTCCAAAGATTTACAGGTTAGAAGCAAAGAGACCCTAGAACCTGAGAACATTTCATCCAATCTCATCATCAGCACAGCCTGGAATAGCCTCATTTCAAGCCAGAGTGAACCAGCATTAAATGGTTTTGAGTTTCATATCATAATCCCCTGTGTATCCTGTCTGATGGCGAGGGCCAGGCTCAACCCTTTAGCTGCACTGTCTACTCCCCAAGGGAAAGAAAGACAAAAGGACTTGACAGGCTACTCAGAATCACCAGGTAAAAACTAAGTGGTACTCTCCCGGTCACTGAACTCCAATCCTCAGCCACTTTGATGCAATATTCTTGAAGTTCACAATTTTACAATTAGGAGACTTTGCAAAGCAGGCTTCCAAGATCTTTGAGGATTCTCCCAGCTTGGTTTAAGATACCTCAAGGAAATGCTCTGCACCAAACTGTTCCTAAACACACAGATATGAAATCAGCCCTATGAGTTTTAAATCAGATAAAGAATTTTTCTTTGAAAAAAGACTCTGAACTGATCAGTCATAAACAACAGAATGTACATCCAAGTTTCATAAGGAGACAAAACACGGTGGGAAGAGATACTAAAGGATCCACAGTTCCACAGAAGAGGAAACACAGGAAATGAGTAATGCCGAACAATCTTTTTATTGTTCACTGAAAAATGCGGGTCTGCAAAGAGTCCACTGCACTGTATATTGAATGCAAGGTCCGATATTGCAAGTATATATGACATAGTATAACACATAAGATATTACACATTTTACATAGTGACAGTACCCGCCTCTTCTAAACGCTAAAACTTAATAAACTGAAATAAAAAGCCCCCTAAAGAAACAAACATTGCAATCATTAACGAAATGCACTAAGCAGAGTACTTAAAAATTGTTTGGTGTGACATCTATCTTGTCTACCTGGAGTTAGGAGTGGTGGAGCCCAGAAAAAAACCCAGCTAACAAAAACAGCCAACACCCTCAAGGAACTCTTCCCGGGAAGCAGGCCGCTGATGCCTGCCACAGCCTGCCACCCTGTTTGGTGGGCCAGCCAGGTTTCAGTGCTGCCTGAGGACCCACACTGAATGCTAAGGCCTGTCGGGGGGCTGGGTTGAGGTGAGTGGGAGGAGCACCAGGAAGGAAGCGGCTTCTGTCACACTGCTTATTCCGCATCCACTCTATGGAGAGGAACACCCAGTGTTTCTGGTGTGAATCTGCCACTCTCCACAAACACTGAAATGTGACTGAGAAGAAAATGTTAACAGTGGGAACAGAAGCCATTTTCTATGCAGTATGCAGTTATCGCCGTTAATTCCTTTCAGCCTGTTCATTAAGATGCCCTAAAAGAGGCAGCTGCTACTATACTGCCGACCAGGCTGGCAGGCCGGGAGAGAGGCCACGACACTTCTTACACTGCCGGCCAGGCTGGCAGGCCGGGAGAGAGGCCACGACACTTCTTACACTGCCGGCCAGGCTGGCAGGCCGGGAGAGAGGCCACGACACTTCTTACACTGCCGGCCAGGCTGGCAGGCCGGGAGAGAGGCCACGACACTTCTTACACTGCCGGCCAGGCTGGCAGGCCGGGAGAGAGGCCACGACACTTCTTACACTGCCGACCAGGCTGGCAGGCCGGGAGAGAGGCCACGACACTTCTTACACCGCCGGCCAGGCTGGCAGGCCGGGAGAGAGGCCACGACACTTCTCCAGTTGTAACTACTGATTCGAATGAATTAAACATAAATATAGTGTATACTAGAGAGCAACACAGTCTCTTGTTATTTACATGGTAATGTGTTCAAGAATTGCAAAAATATTCACAATTCTCCAAGGTCAACTTTATATCTACATTTCCCCCCAAGGAGAAAATCCTGAAGGGAAGGGAATGTATAATATGAACACCTCCTGTTCATCTCACATACAATCAGGGTTCAGAAACTCATCATAGATAAAAAATGCAAAAAAAAGCATTTCAATATATACACAGCAACGGGGGAAGACTACACCCTCCCTCTGCGCTTCCTTGGCATAAGGCAAAGCATGGCTATTTGCAACAACAGTGTCTAAGCTGACTCTGGAAAGGCTCATGTTTTAGGAGAAATCAGAATTACAAAGTTCCTTCATTCACAGGTAACAAAGGATTATTAAATAAAGACCACAGTCTCACCAGCCAATACAACTTTCTTCCCATCTGAGTTCTTAGGAGATTTTACAATATCCAGCTTTAGTTAATACGAAACCATCAGCTATGTATCAGCAACTATTTTATCAGAATATCCATTAACAGAGTTTTAAGTCCATAATAACCAACTATGTATTTTTCTTATTCAAAGAACACCATGTTTTGAGAAGAACGATCCCAGTTTGATGAGTATCTTATTCCCCTTGACACTGCACAGTGAACGTCACTGTGTGGTCTCTATACCCTTGACTCTTCCAGTCCAAGGAAAATCTTGTGTAAAGCTGGAGAACTGGTGTTGGTGCCGAAGTCAACTTCAGGGAATAACCACAATTGCTTATCAGACTGTTCACAGCATTGCTGGAAGCCCTCCTCTTCTTTATCTCTATTAGACTGAGACATTCTAATATTTTAAACATGAGGGTTCACTGATATTGATCAAGGTCTGGTTCAAGGTTTTGGCCTCTGGAATGGTGTGTGGCTAGCCCCAAACCCCGGCCACGTTTGTTTTAAACATGTTCATTCTTCTTCCCACCACAATCTGTCAAACCCACCCACCTGTCCCGCCACCGTCACTCCCCCGGCCCCTCAGCATTGCTGCTCTTCTCTCTTGAACGTTCTACTGCATGTGTGGTATTCACTGAGACGCCACTTTAATGTATAGGTCATTTGCATTTCACGCTACCAGCTCCCCAAAAGACATCAACTGGGAACAATTTCTAAAAGTAAAGGCACAATTTGCTGGCATTTTCCCCTTATAAAGGAAATCAAAGGGGTTATCTGGAAGCTGAAAGAACACCTGGGGTATTCCTGTAAAGGGAATGCTGTATCTGGTACCAAAACCCAGAGACACGGACTAGATCTGAAGATCATAAGGATTATGTAATGGTGTGAGATTCGGCACTTTAAGATCTAGTTCCAACTTTACATTAAACCATTTGGATGAAATGTTGTTGGTATCACAGGAACAAATGAAAACCATCAACAACCCCCTTCTGGCTCATTTCCTCGTGCTTCTGATTCTACTTCCACCAGCTCCAGTGAAGCCCGTCCCAGACACGCCGCTCAGCTCCCTGCTCAGCTGCTCAGAGATAAAAGAATGCATTTCACCTCAACTAGCGCAGCAACTGGCACTCAGATGGTCAACGCTGCAGCCCACGGCCTTGGGGCAAAGCCCATGGAAAAGCTTTAAACAGGGGAAGGAATTCTAGACATTGCATAAAAATTCTTGATTTTAGAATAACTTCCCCAGGAAGTCGAAAACAGTCATTTTTAGTGAATAAAATGTAATCTATACTCAAAAACAATGTAATGCCTCAGAAAGCAAAACCCAGAATTGAAGAACTTTGGAAAAATACGGCTTCATCAGTATCTGACTTTGGCTAAATTATGAGTGTGACGTATGATTGGATTAGAAGCACAGCCTACCGCGTTCTCTAAGACGGTGCAGTACACAAAAACACTTAACAGGGCTGATAGCTCTTTAGCCTCCTGTGACTTCAGAACTTAGATAAAAGTTAACCAGGATTTGACATTCACATACTTACTTGCTCAGCACAAGATGAGTTAGGAGACAGTTAGGCAGACTCTCATTCACGTATGGTGTTCTCAGGAAGCTCCCATTTGGATACCAAACCAGTGGTTCTCTGCCTGGCTGCACATCGGAATCACCTGGGAAGCTTTTAAAACTCAACCACGTGCCTAGGCCAATGAACTCTGGAGGGTGGAGCCCAGAATCAGAAGCTTTACATTGCCCCAGGTGATCCTCATGCAGCCAGGACGCTCACCACTGAGGCATCCCTTTCGGAGAGCGGTTGCGAGAAAGCCAAGTGAATGACACTCGTATCTGGATAGTTCTTTCTGAATTCCACCAGAAAAAGGGATTTTTAGAAAAAGGCACAGTTGTGCTTCCTCTAAAGATGCAGTCTGCAGTTTGGGAAGTGTTGGTTCCCAGAGGTTATCTGGAGCGCTGGTTGTAAAGAAGGAAGTCCTTGTCTTGGCAGAGTAGGCAGAGTTTCAGGCTTCGGCAGCTGCCTCCCGCAACAAAGAATGCCCAGATGCCCATGAGCACCAGGATTATAAATGCCAACACCAGGTTTATTCCATAATGAGGACTTATGAAGGTCTGCAAAAGAAAAATAAATCAGCTTGGCTAATAACAGCAGGCTTATTAAACGTGGAATAACCAAAGATAAAGGGAAGCATGAAATACTTTCGAGAACTTGTGTGTGCTTCAACAAACACACGGCGTGTGTCATGTGTTGCAGACCCGAGGCATGTAGACCTAAGCTGGTCAACAGACACTGTGGGTCCTGTGCTTTGCTGTATTCAAATGGCAACTTTACAAGGCAGTCATTAGGCAGAACCTAATGGAATACGCAGCCCAAGATGCATGTCACCTAACCAGTTTCTATTCATTTCTATGTTAAATTGGTTCTTAAAATTTGCAAGAAAGTGAGACAAATCCAAATTACTTAAGTATGAATCCTTAGTACTCAAGGGAACATGAGGGAAGAGTCTTTTTCAGTTGAGCAACTGCTGTGGGTTCCAAAGGTTTATTCATTTAAAGAACACTAATGGAACGCCAAGACGCAGTGTGTACAGCATGGTGAAGACCAAAGTCTCTACCTAATGGAGCTTCTGTACTACTGAGGGAGGCCAGTCATGAGTGAAGAAACAACTTAATTAGTTACAAGTTGTGGTGAATGCTATGACAGCATAATTATCATTGTGACGAGGCTAGGATGGGAAAAAACAAGGTGATCTCCTCAGGGTGGTCAAGGAAGGTCCCAAGAAAGTGGTCGATTTTACAGTTAGCAGCTTATGCAGAAAAAATGCTCTTCTCAAGAGGCCTCTGTGGGCATAGCAGTCAGTGAGCATTTTCTGGATTATTCTTCACAATCATTCTATACTTCAAATCTACTGAATTTTCATTCATTGTATAGAGTGCTACACTCTGTTGTACCGTTCTTCTTTAAAATTTTTTTTCTCTTTTAAACAGTTACAAAAGCAATACATGATTGTTGTAGAAAATTAGAACATAAAAATGAGAAAAATAGAACAAATTTTAAAAGTTGAAATTCAGCTAGGTTAATATTTATTTTAAAAGCTCAAAAAGTAAAACCATAAAGAGAAAAACTGATGAGACTATATAAAATTAAGAACTTTTGTTCATCGAAAGACATTAAGAGAATATAAAGACAGACCACACCATCAAAGTTATTTGTAATACACACATCTGACAAAAGATTTTTTTAAAAAAACATAAAGACCTCCTAAAAATCAGAAATAAAAAGATAAACCAATAGATAGGCATAAGATTCGAACAGCCACTTCAAAAAGAATTATCCGAATGGCCCGTGGAGACTTGCTCAACCTCATCGGGGAAATGTAAATTAAAACTTTTACTGTAATTTATTAATTTATGCACTTATGATACCATGACATACCCAGCAGGATGGCTAACAATAAAGAGAACGCTGTGAGGAGGTGGAGGAACCACAACTTGTAAATTCATGGCAGAGTGTAAGGTGATACAATCACTTTGAAAATGGAGTGGTATGAAGAGTTGACATGAGTACACTCCACGACCCAGCAGTCCCACTCCTAGGCATACAGCCAAAAGAAATGTGTGTGTGTGCATGTTCACCAAGAGACACACATCAGAACATTCACAGCTGTACTATTCACAGTCATTCAAAATGAGAAGGCCGGGTACGGTGGCTCACGCTTGTAATCCCAACACTTTTGAGGGGCTGAGGCAGGAGGATTGCGTGAGCCCAGGAGTTTGAGACAAGCCTGAGCAACATAGTGAGAGCTCATCTTTATAGAAAATTTAAAAATTAGCCAAGCATGATGGTGTATGCCTGTAGTCCCAGCTACTTGGGAGGGTGAGGTGGGAGAATCACTTGAGCCCAGGAGGTCGAGGCTGCAATCAGCCGTGATTGTGCCACTGCATTTCAGCCTGGGCCGCAGGGTGAGACTCCCTCTGAAATGAGAAACATCATCAACGCCTCTCTGCTGTAGAATGGGTAAATTATGGTACAGACACATGGTAGAATACTATACAGCAATGAGTGAGCCATTCAAGTCTGACAACTATCTTTCATACTGCTGATAGGAAAACAGTCTAGCATTAAAAATTAAAGGGGAATTTGCATTCTCTATTTCGCTCCAGCAATTCTGCAGCTAGAGCTACACTCTGAAGCAATTCGTTCTAAAAATAATAGATTGTCTACACCCGGGAACTTGTTAGAAATCCACTAGTGATATAAAGACGAGTCATACAAACATGCTGAGCAAGAGGAGCCAGACACGAGGGCAAATGTCGTGCGGCTCTGTTTACAGAAATACTGAAAGGTAGCACCGAGCTGCGGTGCTGGAGTCAGAATCATGGTCACCCTTAGTGGGGTCAGTGACTGGTGGAACAAAGAGGCTCCTGGGGGCTGAGAATGTTCTGATTGTCATCTAGGTGCTAGTTACACAGGTGTGTTCACACTGTGAACATTCATCAAGGTGTATACTTCTGATTTGTGTGCTTTTCCGTAGGTGTGTTATTTTAATAAAACAATTATGTAATCATTTTCTGAAATCCGCCATTGAGAGAAAACTGCTATTAACATTTTGGTAGATACTTTTCAAACTTCCTAGGTTCTTTCCTGGAGTCTCACTCTGCCACCCAGGCTGGAGGGCAGTCATGTGACCTCGGCTCGCTCCAACCTCCACCTCCCGGGTTCAAGCGATTCTCTTCCTCAGCCTCCCGAATAGCTGGAATTACAGGTGCCCATCACCATGCCTGGCTAATTGTGTGTGTATGTGTGTGTATATATATTTTAGTAGAGACAAGGTTTCACTATCTTGGCCAGGCTGGTCTTAAACTCCTGACCTCATAATCCACCCACCTCGGCCTCCCAAACTGCTGGGATTATAGGCGTGAACCACCACACCCAGCCAGTTCTTTCCTTTTAATCATTAAAAAGAGTATTATCTACCTTCAGCAAAAAAAAGAAAAAAAAAAAAGAATATTATCAACTATTCAATATTCACCAACATTTACTGGCCACCTACTACGTGCCATGAATTGAAGATACAAAGATTGGCAAGATAAGGCCCCATCTTTGATTATCAAACTCTAGTTAGAAAGAGAGAGAGAGAGAGAGACAAAAACTTTATTAAATAAAATATGCTAGCCAAGGATACGTGTTATATGAGAGTTAGGAATAAGGTCTAGTGATAGTGCTGAGTCTGAAACGTGAAACTCTTCCATGCAGCTGTCATAGAGAATAAACAGTTTTTCAAACTGACCAAGGTTACGGAGAGACAAATCACTGCAAATAAACAGCAGGAAAAAAAAATATTTTAATAAGACCCACCAAAAAATGAAAAGTGATGGTCTTTCTGTGGTAAGAGTTAGATGACTCACTCATTCACTTAAATAGCTTTTCTGAATTTCCCCATGATCTCATGAGCATGTATTTCACCCAGAACAGAATTTACCATTTCAGATACACAGACTTGAGTTCCAAAATACAGTCTGGGCGTGGCGGCAACACTCACCTGGGCTGATACCAGCAGATGGGTCAGGAGAACTATAAGGAGGATGTACCACTTTTTCCTCTCACAGCCATCAAAAAAGACAATGCCCCAGAACACGTGCAGCAGGATGATGACCAGCGTCATGAAAGCTGAAAAACAGTCAACTATTAGTGTCACTCCCACAGACACCATAGCCACTGAGCCCCCTGGCACTGTGCTTGGGCTCTCGGAGTGTCCACTGCATCTCAGAGAGAGAGCTTACCACCACCTGACAGAAACAGGACCGTCACACACGTTTGCCCACTCAAAGAGCAACACTGCTGAATAGGAGGAGACTGCTCTGCCACAGCTTCTTGTCTAGAATGTGAATCTGTTCAACAACAGGTCAACTGAGGTCTGGCTTTCAGGCAGCTTTCCTGAGGAACGCAATGAAATTACTGTGATGTCCAGCCAGCTTTTTCCCAATGAGTCTTCTGCACTAGTAAAGAGAGACTTCAATGAAAAGGAATACCTTCTGTTTAAACAAGACTCCTGGCTAAAGTGGAATTTTTCCTTGGATCCTTTTGAAAAAGGCCAGTGGGAAAGTATTTACCATCACAGCCAGGCACGGTGGCTTACACCTGTAATCCCAGCACTTTGGGAGGCTAAGGTGGGCAGATCACTTGAGATCAAGAATTCAAGACCGGCCTGGCCAACATGGTGAAACCCCAACTCTACTAAAACTACAAAAATTAGTCGGGCTGGTGGCATGTGCCTGTAATCCCAGCTATTCGAGAGGCTGAGGCAGGAGAATCACTTGAAGCCAGGAGGTGGAGATTGCAGTGAGCCGAGATCACACCATTGCACTCCAGTCTGGGCAACAGAGCAAGACTCCATCTCAAAACAAAACAGAAAAGAAAAATATTTAAAATCACAATAATCGCTCCCGTCAGCCTGGCTCACCGGCCAGCGCCAGGCGAGGTGCGGGGCACGGAGCCTGTGCGAGCCCGGTAGCCCTGGAGAGGCCAAGGCTCTAGGCTGCAAGGGTGAGTGCCATGGCAGATGAACGGGTGAGCAGCGCCGACCTGGCCACCGACTGTAAGGCCCCGGAGACTACAGAGTCTACGGCTTCCTCGGTGGGGTCCTGCGAAGCCGCCACCAAGTCACCGGAGCCCAAGGACAATGACAGCACCTGCGTGTTCCGCGGGATCGCAGGGCGGCAGGTCCCGGGCACCGAACTCCTGCACTGCGAGAATGAGGACCTGGTTTGCTTCAGAAATATCAAACCAGCAGCAACTCATCATTATCTTATGGTGCCAAAGAAGCATACTGGAAATTGCAGATCTCTAAGGAAAGAGCAAGTAGAACTGGCTGAGAACATAGTAACTGTTGGAAAAACCATTCTTAGGAATAATTTCAGACTTCATGAATGTGAGGATGGGTTTTCATATGCCTCTGTTCTGTTCCACTTCGCACGTGCACCTTCACGTTCTGGCACCAGTGGATCAGCTTGGCTTCTTATCCAAGTCGGTTTATAGGGTCAGTTCCTATTGGTTTATCACAGCTGATCATTTGATTGAAAAACTAAGAACATGAAAATGTCAACGGTGGAAGATTTTTCTGACTTTGGCTCTGCATGAGTTATGTTTAGGTCCCTTTTCAGTCTAATTGCGATTTGAAGGTTTGTTGGGTTTTATGAGAGGCTGCTACTGAGTGGCCTTAACTCTTTTCTGGATGTCTGTTTCCTGAGATGTGTGATAGAGTCATGAGTATTTTGTTACTGACTTGTTTCAATGATTACTTGTTGAAGGATTTTATATATATGATACTATAGACAAAATCCTATTTAAGACGAATTCTGTTAATCAAGAAGGGCTCTGTATTTTTTTGAGTTAAAATGTTTTCGTTTCTCAGTAGTCAGTTATAACAGTGATGTATTTATGAAGAATGAACTGCTATAGAGAGTGCTTTATTGGAACCTTCGTTACTGTGAAGGAGAAAAAGAACTTAGCTATTTCTTGACAGTTCTATAGATTTACACATACATTTTCAAAGTAAAGAATACCATACTACACAATAATCTCTGATCTGCTGAAGGAAGGAATATGTGCCACTTTTTCCTCAAATTTCAGATGCCAGTTTTCACTTCTTGAAGCCCTGAATCTTTTTAATAACTCTGTTCTGAAAGCTACATAATAGATATCATTTCTATCCTTGAATGAACAATAACTATCAAACTGGCTATCAGAATTTACTGTCATGGAATTTGCCTGTAATAACATAAAGGGGGAAGAAACAAAGTGGTTCTCTTAATAAAACTAGAAGAAACTGTTGCTTTATGGCATGTTTTGTATCAAAGAGAAATCAGAATAAAAAGCAGTTAAACTTTGCTTTTACCATGAGAAAGGCCTGATTCAAAAGTAGAGATGGGCTTAAATAAGCAAATTTGATAACGCAAAGCTAATAGTATTGACATATCATTTTATGAGGCATGTTTTGTTAGAAATTGTTTTTCTGGTGCCAATCTGCAGTCACAATAGTGAATATGAAGAGTATGAATGAATGTTAATCCTACATTGTGCCAGTGTATAATAGCACCATGTATGTGAAATGAATAAATGAACATGAGGATTAATGTGGGTTGAAAATAGGCTGAGATACTAGTTTTCTTTTTTAGAGGGGGTGTGTATTAAACATTGTAATAAGTAATTTGTTACTTAAAACTAAGTTACAACAGGTAGAATCAATACTGTTTCATTTGTTCATTAATTTATTCATTCCGCAAACATTTGTTGAGCATTTAATGTGTAGCAGACCTTGCCAGGATCAGGAAATAAAGAAATGAAAACAGACAATTCAGCCTGCAATTGCTAGTAAAGGGGTCAAAGTCAAGGATTAGGATTCAGTGTGTTAAGTGCTATGATACCCACAGAAGAGGCTGTGAAGGGAGAAACACTTCTGAGAATGGGAGGTAGAAGAACTGAGTATTTAAGACGGAATGTTAGGCCGGTAGACAGTGACTGGTTAGGCTGAGAAACCCCATTATTCTCCTTGAGTTCTGCTTCCACTGTTACTTACTTTACAACAGATGTGCATGTCCAGATTCCATGTTATTACTGAAGGCGGAGAAAGGATGTGAAAGGAGGGGTTACGGGTTCTCAAAAGTGGATTTAGAGATGTTTTATCACCGTATTGTGATACGGTTCACTGAGCAGTTACAAGTTTCCACAAGTCAGTTAGAATACAGTCATATTCTATTCTAAATCAGTTGGAATATTGTCAGCTTCAGGGAAGGAATTTTCAACAAGTACAACCTTTGACTGTTTTACTGTGGGAACTTGCAGTGATATAATTGACAACATCATAACAATAACAGGTAAAGTATTTTGGGAACTCCCAAATGCCTTATGGACCTCTTCGAAAATGTGGTTAGCCAATTGATTCAAAAATTTTTTTTAAGACAGAGTTTCGCTCTTGTTACCCAGGCTGGAGTGCAATGGCGCGATCTCGGCTCACCACAACCTCCGCCTCCTGGGTTCAGGCAATTCTCCTTCCTCAGCCTCCTGAGTAGCTGGGATTACAGGCACGCGCCACTGTGCCCAGCTAATTTTTTGTATTTTTTTTTTATAGTAGAGACGGGGTTTCACCACGTTGACCAGGATGGTCTCGATCTCTTGACCTCGTGATCCCCCACCTCGGCCTCCCAAAGGACTGGGATCACAGGCGTGAGCCACCGCGCCTGGCCCTTGATTCAACTTTTATAGCTTTATATTCTCTCATATAAACCAATTTTTAAAAACTCTTAGAAACACATTTTTTAGTAGAGGTTCTCATTTACTTATAAAGATTAATAATCAAATTGCTACACTTAATATACATTTGGCCTTTTCAATAGTCTAAATATCTAGCCATCTGTAACACTAGTTCATCTGGCCAATTCAAAGCAAGCCTAATTCATAACCTGTCTTATAAATGTTTGAAGTAGTGTCAAGAACATTGTTTATGCATGTTGTGATGCTGTTTGTGGAACTGTAAAATTATTATCATGAGTATTTCAAACTGTGCTTACTTAGCTAGAAGAAAATGAAATAAAAATGAAAAAATACTGTCAAAAAAATCACAATAATCATCTACGATGCTTCTTAAGTAACTGGCATTTAATTTTATCAGCACCACCAGGCTTTTCTGGGGACCACCACCTCTGTGTGTGTATGTTGTGTCTGTGTATCCTGCGTGCTGGATAATAGTCTTTATTTAAAGTGGGCAAGCCCTATATATTCTGCAAAGTTTAACATGGAAAAAAAAAAGGCATCTAGATTTCCTCTTTCAGCCATGTAATAAGAAACCATTAACACCCAACAGACTGGCAAAAATTCAAGTCTAACAACTCTCTTTCATACTGCTGATAGGAAAACAGTCTAGCATTACAAATTAAAGTGGAATCTGCATTCTCTATTTCACTCCAGCAATTCTGCAGCTAGAGCTATACTCTGAAGCAATTCGTTCTGAAATTAATAGATCATCTGCACCTGGAAACTTGTCAGAAACTTAAAGTATGGGGACCTACCCCACACTTCCTCAATCAGAAACAGTGGGGTGGGAGCCTAGCAATCTGTGTTTAAACAGCCCTCCAGATGATTCTGATGCATGGTCGAGCTTAAGAATCACCGCTCTAGAGAAACGTACACATCTGTACAAGCAGCATATGTAAGTCTATATCAGCACTGTCTGTAATAATGAAATATGTCCATCATTACCAGAATGGACAAATAAACCATGCTCTATTCACACAACAGAATACTATATGGTCTACAATATAAATGATCTCAAGAATCTAATGTTATGTAGAAAAGAAAACCATAATGTGGAATAAATACCTATTACTTCATTGACACGAAGTCTAAAACATGCAAAACAGTATTTAAAAGACGTAACTGTTGTGGTTAGAAGAGAGAAAGCTGTTATATCTGGTGTAACAGTGTCATCCTTTCAGTAAATGGTGGTAGATATTTCAACTAAAGTAGAAGAGAAATCGTTTCCAACGTTTTGTGGCGATGGCAGACGAAGCTAAAGTGATGTACTTTCATCTCAGTGATGACCCTGGAAAGGGAAGCATCCCTGGAGACAGACGTTTGGTGATGGAGGGGAGCTGGGACCGCTGAAGAAGCCC